AGAATATGCCTACGCTGAAGCTCATTCATAGCCTGGGGAAGCTGGCGCAGTTGTGCATTATCATTAGGCACAAGTTTCAGTCCCTAATGGGCAGGACCTTAGTCTGTGGGGGTCACTTGCTCACTATGAAGGGTTGTCAAGGGCACCCAGCACTTTTGTAATACTTCTTTCACTCATTTGCTGTCTCACTGGCGACAGCTAAAGCAATTCAGTGGTGACAGCTAAATACGTTTGTGCAGCGGGGCCCAGCGCTGAGCCCACAGGTGCTGTCTGCGGTGGCTATACTCTCTGTTACTGACAGCAGCGGTGGAGAGGTGGGACTCATCTCACCCAGCTTTAGACACCTACGCTAGAGACACCTACTTCTGAGCTTGTCGCCCCAGACTGTTTAGAGATGGTGGAGAGAAACAAGCACTTGGAGAGGGTGATTCATCTGGCTTGTTTTAGTCTTCTACTTTAGGAGGAGATAAATCGTGCTATGGAAATGTCTTTTTTTTTTTTCTGTCTACTAGCTATGCAGAAAGTGTAAATCACTGTCTCAGATACACACGTCTGCACAGCAGATGTCTCAAACTGACAGTATGAATGCTACCCTTGGCTTTTATCAGTATCCCATTTTTAACATACACAGTGAGGTACAGGGTGGTCCTATGGTAAGCCTTTAGATGGCTACCTGTGCACAGGTAGCCTTAAAGCACTTTTGAAGTGGTCTGGACAGGCTATTTAAATGTGCTACCTCTACCGGGGCAGATTTTCTCCAACCCAGTACAAGCATCTGTGGTCAGTGAGAAAGGGCACACATCAGGCTTTGAGCAACCTGGTCTAGTGGGAGGTGTCCCTGCCCATGGCAGGGAGGTTGGAACTCGATGATCTTTAAGGTCCCTTCCAACCCAAACCATTCTATGATTCTATGACTCTGTCTAAAGCATCTACCTTACGTGGGGTGTGTAGCACCTTCCAGTGCCTGTTTTTCTCCATGGGCTCAGCCAGGAGCATGGAGTGAGTAGCTCAGATATAGATGTCCCTACCACAGGTATCTGAAGTCAGCTGAGAGGGGTCTCCCCCGTAATGGAGGAAGCAGAAGGACAGCTGTTTTCTGGGGCTGGGAATCCCCATGGGTAATGACATTGGCAGTAGCATCGGAGGTGATTTCCTTCCTTTGTCTCTGAATGCCATGGGAGAGAGGTTGGGCTGAAAGGGAGGGAGGAGGAGTGATTCCAGTTGAGACTTATGAAACAGGAAAATGAATGTACAAAAGGAAGAATGGAAAGCCAAAATTAGTAAAAGCAAGATAGGCATTTTTCTTCTATCTTGGCATCTTGATTTGTTCTTTTGGGGGATACAGTAGCGTACAGAGCAGTCTGCTGCAAGGAGCAATGGAAGGAACCCATTCAAAGTCTGGAGGAGGATGTCCAGAAATAAAATTCTTTTATGTCCTGCCTCATCCATTCTGAAAAGATATTTTTCCATCTTTAAATTCATGGGTACTCTGTTGCCAGCTGGCCCTTGTGCACTGTTAGAAAGAGAGCGAGGAGTTTCTCATCCATGCGTGGGTTTGATGTCACCCCATCTATGCACCTGTGGTTTGGGTGAGAAGAATGTCTCCATGGGGACACAGGGACTGGGCAGGGAAAGCTACAGCTCTGGTGTTATGCATGCCAGCTGACAGGCAGGTCCCTAGCACAGTAAGTGAGAGGATAAGACCACATGGGTGTATATCATCTGTAGCGTCCACCATTTCCAAAGACAATCTGGCTTTTGGGGGCAGGTTATGTCCCAGATATCCTCCAGGACGGTACTGCATTGATTGGAAAAGGCTGTGCCCATTTGCCGTCTAACCCTCCAGCAGCAATGGAAATCTTGCGGGCACGATAGTTTCACTGACAGATACTACAGATACTGACAGATACTGCAAGTCTCAGCTTGTAACCGTTAATCACTAGGGCAGTGATTTTTACCCCAAAATATGGGGCCCATCATCATTAAACCCATTATGCCTGGGATAAGTTTTTACTCCATCCAGCATGTAAATGCATCCTTAGAAATTTAACCCGTGAGCTGCAAAATCACATCAGAAGTGATGCATGCAGTATTGTTTTTTACTGAAAGCAAATGTTTCCATTGGTGTATTTAACACAAAATTAAATGTACCCAGACAAGTAATTTTGCTTATGGAGCAGAAAAAACATCAGTAAAGTTTAGCTTTATTTCATAGTAATGATATTTGATGGAGTAATTGCCATGGAATAGAGTTGAAAGGCAGGGATATTCATGCAGGCTGTCCGCATGGACTGCTGACTCATGCGTATGTGCACAGTACAAGGGGGAGCAGGGAGGGTGGCTTCAGCCCTTGGTGGGGAGAAGATGTTCCCCACAGAGTCTGTTGTGGGGTGTCCCTCAAACACTGCATTATTTTGAGTGTCTGGTGCATCATATGGTACGATTGTGGTTTTCCTCATTTTCAGCGATTGCCAAGGCTACTGGGCCATAGGGCCAGACGTGGTATCTTTCTGTCTGTCCTGGATTCAGCTGGAGTAGGGTTAATTTTCACAGCTGGCTGGCCTTAAAACCAGAACAGTGTCTCAGTGATCAATTCACATTTTAGAAAAATAGCACAGCTTCAATGTTGTGATTCAGAGCACCTACTCATCTTGAGATATCATATACCCTAGTGGCTTAAGGCATGTTCCCTAATGTTAAATATCTGCAGCAGGAGGGGTTTAAATCCTGGTTTCCTGCTTTCTGAGGGAATAACAAGGATGGTGGGTGCCCTGCTGGCTGTCTTCTAGAAGGAGGAACATTTTTGCCTACCTCTCCAAGTAGTTTCAAAAGTGTGAACTGTGAGTGGAGGAAGGCTCTTCCCTGCATTGACACAGTGACACAAACCCCTCCTAAGCTCTTGCTTGGCACCCTGGCTGCCTGGATTTGTTTCTTCTGTGCCCAGAAATCCCCGTGGTCCATGGAAAGGATGCTGGATCTTGTTAGAGTGTGTGAAGTGTTTGGTGTGGCAGTGGCAACACCCAGTAGAAAAGCTTGAGAGGAAAGGAAGAACTCAGCAATCACTTCAGGACTTGCGTGGTGGGCCACAAAGAGAGTGCTGACAGCTGCCCATTACGTGGTGAAGTTAAAAGAAATTAATGTATCATTGTTTGGTAAACTGAACCATAACTGATCTGTGCAGCAGGTGAGGCAAGAAGCATTAATTACAAGCAATGTATTACAAAGAAAATGTATTAAAAAGATTTTGAATGAGCTAAGGGTTCACAGGCAGCCTTTTTTTCTATTCTAGCTTCTTCTAACATTTAGCAGGTAGATTGTGACCTTTCCATTATGTATTTAATAAAAAGCCACATCATTAACTTTGGATAATTCATTGGCCTGCTGGTGCATCTCCTCTTATGTGGGAAGCTGCCCTCACAATCTTCTATTGAAAACTGAAATAAGTGGAGCGATGCGACAGCCCCATCTCTCCTAAAGCCACTCAGAAAGACTACATGTTTATACCTTTGCTGCTGTACACTCTTCTTAGATTTCAAGGTATCAAACAGAGGCCACAGTTTTTCCCCTTACAAAACACGACTTTACTAGGTAAACTAATGGTACTCTTAGCTCAGATAATGCATTTCTTATCTGTAAAGAAAAAATAAATAGTTCTCTTGATTGGAACAAACCTTTTCTTTAATAATGTATTAGCTCACGTAAATACAAATTTTGGTTAACCTGCAATAAGAGGGTTAAAGAGATTTTCCATTCCAAATACTGTTTCTCACCGGGATAAGTAAGAATTTTTTTGCGTCTGGATCTCTCTTAGCCTGCCTTGAACATACATAAATGTTGGGCAATAATACAATCTCTCTCATGTACTTGTTTTTCTCTCTTCACCTTTCAATGCATGCAATGACCTCTGGACACTTTTAAAGTTGAAGGTTCCTGGCTTTCAACATGAATTGCTATTACATCCTCCTTCAAGTGAATGGACCAACTAAATTGAAGTCAGCCTTTAAGAGAAATCACTGCTGAGTGCTGCATGCAGGTGACTGACAGCTTTACCGGCTGTTGAGTGGGGTGAATTTAAGAAAGGCAGGTGACAGCCTAAAGGCAGTGGCCTGCTGCTGAGGTCTGCCAGCACGTTTTGATCTCCGTGAGAACTGAACCACCTTACCTCACTTCGTTCATTCATTCACAAGCTGGATACAGTATCTGCCGATAGCGGTACCATAGCAGGGCTGTAACAATTCATGTTTAAGGATGTAAGGGGCAAGGTTTTTTAGGAGAGGAATTCCCAGCAGCATGCTAGGCTCAGTTATACCAGGGCAAAGTTCCACTCCAGTCTCATTTAGTGCAGGTCTCGAGTTAAAAAAAGTTAGGGTTGCCTAGTCTGAGATGCTCTTCAGGGCAGCCTGTCGGTTGGTCTGATTTTTACCATCTGGCTCCAGCTACAGGAGAGCTGCTCTAGAGATCACTGCACTGCCTGGTGATGCAAGTTCAGTACTAATCATGCTACTTACATGGCAGTGATCGTGCTTAACTGCAAGATTAAATACGTTGTCCCCCCTCTCTTTTTAAGAAACACTGTTCCATAAGCTGCCCAATTCCACATTTTCTGGGACAATAACAATTCCAAGTGTTGTTGTAATCCCCTTCGCTGCTTTATTAAACTCAGTACTGTATTTTTCATTCATTTACATGTCCTAACAGCATCAGTTTAAGCAGTGTGTTAAGCTTTTCTGTGTACATCAGAGCAACATGTAATTTTCATTTCCATTTTACCCAATGGCTTCTAAATCTAGAGGTGATAATTATTATTTGCATTGTAATTATGCCTCAGTTGAATCAGAGGCTTTGCAATGATCTAAATACAAAGGACATTTTGTGGCAAGATCTGGTGGGTTCTTTTGCTGGGGAAGTTCCACGTGACTTCAGAAGGGCCTAGGATTTGAAAACTAAATGGAGGCTGGATGTCCTTAGTAAGTCTTGTGTTTTCTTCTCCCCAGGGGATGAGCGCTCTCGGGAGTCTCCAGCCCCAGCCGAAGCACAGATGCAAGCCGGGGCAGAAGGTGGTGGCAGGGTGAACCGCTGTTGCTGGAAATGCTCCGTGACGCAACTCAAGAAGATTTTCTGGGGTGTGGCTGTGGTCTTGGGTGTCTGCTCCTCCTGGTCGGGTTCAACGCAGCTAGCAAAACTGACCTTTAAGAAATTCGATGCACCGTTCACTCTGACGTGGTTTGCAACAAACTGGAACTTTTTATTCTTTCCTTTGTATTATCTTGGACATGTTTTTAAGTCAGCTGAAAAGCAGTCTCCAAAGCAAAGATACAGGTATGGGAGCTTTTGGTTTTTTTCCTGTGGCTCTTGCATGCTGCTCTACCTCTAGCAGACATTTTATTTAGATCAGCCAGTTAAATCAAATTTGCATTTGCTTTCCTCTTCAGGTTTGTTAAAGGATGTTCTGAATTCATTCTGTGTCCTGTGCTAGGTGGCATGTTACTATTCTCAATACAATTTCACTCCAACAGTAAGAAATCCAGGGTTATTTCCAATACGTACAAGTCATGTAATGAAAGTCCACATTTTCTGCAATTGCTTCTCAAGAGTTTTCTGTTCAAACCCCCATGAACATGATTTTTTTTAATTAATATCTTCTTCCTCTACCCACAGCTGACTTTCATGGCAATCTCTGAGTAAGCTAAATAAGCTTTTCTTTTCCAAACCCAGGACTAGTGCAGTGCCTTGAACAGCCAAGTAAAAAAAGTATTACAGTATTTTCCTGGCATTATGCCCCTGACATCAAAGGCCAAGCTCTGATCCCAGTTAAACTCGAGCTGTTGTGTTTATTTCCGGGAGGAAGCACAGTCATAACCAAAGGCAGCACTTTGTCTTCAGCACACCTCGTCTTTAGAGCAAGCCAAACCCACAAAGCCTGAAGCGCTCATGGAAAGCCCTGAGTGCCCATCCTCCGTGAGGGTCTGAGGATGCTCTGGCTGCTTGAAGGACTGCCTCTTGGTGAGCGCTCCTTCATCTCATCTCATTTTGGCCTAAGAGGTGTCTGGGACAGATGGGATGACTCAGCCATCAAGATGTCCTGTGCCAGAGAGCTTCCCCGATACATGGAAGGATGTGAACAATGTTTTCCCCTTCTGTTACACAGTGGGGCTCACAGCCTTTTAATGAAGTAGCTCAGAAAGTAAACAGTAAGAAGTACACATTTCTCAGCTTCCAGCTGTGCGGCAGTGAGGTGGGAGCTTACTACAGGAAAAGTCTAAGAAACCAGAGTACTCGGGAAATTCTCTGCCTCAGATTACTAGGATTAAGATTATAAATGCTGAAATTTTGCTGTTTAGCCATCGTGACAGTTTCTTCATCTTCTAAATCATTCAGGGGCTGCAGATAAAGGAATTTTACTGTTCATTGCAGGTTCTAGAGCAGTATCCAGAAGTCTTAAAGGCGTTTTCATGAGATGCCATGTTTCCTGCACGTCATCTTCAGTTTGTATTTGTTGTTTGCTCCACAGAAAACATGGTTTCTTCAGAGATGACAGAAGTATGGAGGTCAGAGAAAACAACAGTTTAATTTAAAAACAATAACAAATGCTAGCCCAAAACAACTACCTTTCCGTTTCTTTGGTTTTTAAGTATTTTCCTTTCCAGCTGCTCTGATAATGTTTTAAATACTGCTGAATTCTGGGGTGAGCAGTTGTGGTTTGCCAGATCCCTGGGGTTAAAACCAGAGCATTATACTCTTTGTTGCTGCAGTTAATTGATATGGTTGGTAGTTTTATGTCTTCCATTTAATTAAGTGGTGGCTGAGCTGAAGAGCAGGTGCAAGCCCTGCAGCCTGTGTGGGATGCAGGGGGACATCATTACAAGTAAGCTTGTGGCAGGCTTAGTAAAATACGTGCATTTGTGTGTCTGACCAGCAGCTTTAATAGGTTTAGTTTACAGAGTTTTTTCTTGGTGTCAGGGTAGACTTGGGCATTTGGAGATATGGCTTTGGTTCCTACCTTTGCTGCACATTTGTTCTGTGGTTTTGAGCGAGTCACTACAGGCCTCTGATTTCCTTGTACTCTCCGTTCATTCGGATGAGATGGTCCTTCAGAGGGAGGACTGTCCCTAACCATGTGTTTATGTAGTGTCTGCTTCAGCATGTCCACCATCTACACTGAGACCTTTCAGTGGTCCTGCACTAAGAATCACTGTAAAAAGAATTACTGTTCATCTGCCTGCTCCATTATGGCTGAGATGTCATATGCATGTGCATCCGAAACCTCAAGTGCTGAGTTCCAGCATCCCTTCTTAATTATTCCCTCTTTTTGCATATTTTATAAATATGAATATATATAGAGAGAAATACACAGAGACTTTGCAGTTCCATGAGGCGTTACCATCTTGAGGAAAGCTTGCACTCCAGGCATAGTCAGACACGTTAGGAAGATGTTGCATGGGCTCCTGGATCATTAAAATAAGACAATTCTGACCTGGAACTAGCAAGCGACTTGCTTAATCACTTGCTTCTTCTTTTATCCATCACCTTTGTTTGTATTTCATATACTGTCTAAACTCTCTGGCAGGAATTTGCAATGAGATAAATGGAAAGGTGGGAGTGGAAGAAAGTGGAAATGTGACATCAGCAGTGAGGTAGTAAAGGAAGGGATTCTCAGATCTTGCCTGCACAGCTTGATTAAATCCATAGGCACCTCATTTTTTTGGCAGCAAAACTCCCCAAGGACACCTGCACAGACACCTCCTCGGCAGCAGGGCCGGGCAGCTCAGCCTCCCCTTCCCACAGCGCCTTCAGTGGGTGGCTCTGCGGGGCTGAGCTGGCTTTGGTGTACTTCCCCATACAGCTGAGGAACGTGTAAGGAACAGCAACCATGAGGAAAAACACAAAAGAGGGATCATAAAATGTAGGAACAGTGAATAGATATATGGTCTCTCCTACACAGATTATATGGTTTATTATGGTTTTAAATGTCTATTGTATTATACCAGTATATGTGTATATATATATATATATATACACTGTGCTGTATATATATGAATTTATCTGTTTTTTAGTTTCACAGAACATACCTGTCATGGATGCAAACCAGTTTAAAGCTGCAGAGATTTTTTTCCCCATTTTATAGCACATAAAATTGTAATAAATTTGGCACCAAAATTTTATAGTAGCACATTAAAATTAACAGCAGGTTTATTCAGTTTCTTTATCTGATTTTGAGTATTAGGCCATTATCTACAGTATTAGGGATTTGTGACTGACCCATATTGCATGGTAAGGAACTTTCTATTTAAGCTGAAGTAGAATATCAGTTGTGTCTTCAGCACAGGGAGTCACTCTTCAAGGCAAACCAAAGCTCATGCATTCATGTCCAAACTGCTCTAGGCACCCTGTGCAGCTCCATCAAATGCCGGAGCCGTGCCCAAGTGCAGACTGCTCAGGGAGAACTTGTCCTACACTCAGTACCATGGGTGACACAGCGAGCTCTGGCAGGCCAGTGAAGAGCACGCCAGGGTCAGCGCTGCTCTCTTACTTTTCATGCAAGTGCTTACTAGCTTAAAATAAAATTACAGCAACTAAGTTATCATTCATTTCAACTATTGTCCAGTCCAGAAAGAACACATATAATGATTTATGTGCCTAATGGATCATTTAAGAGTACTTCATTTTGGCTTCATACTTTTTTGCTTCCAAACTACGTTATAAAATGACACATTTAATCTGATGAGCTACCCTCTATCATACCTACATTATTAATTTATGAGGTAACAAATTAAAAGCACTAGAGCTTAAAGGTCCCTGGCTACACAAAAGATTGAATTAAAATCTTTGTAAGATATCGCTTAGCTTTGCAAATCTCTAGGCAGGACAAAACACACCTTTTCTAAAGATTCACTCTGTGTGTACCAGTTGGGGGAATAAGGGAGGATTGTGTTCACATTTTAACAGGAGAATGCCTCAGAAAGCTTGTTTATTTTGATGGTAAGGTCTTATCTAACAATATTTTGAGAAGGAAAGGGCAGGACTTTTCAGAATGGTTTGTGTGATTACTTATTTCTTTGTTTATCATTTAGGTCTTGATTTTTATTTCCTAAAGCATTAGGGCTAAAGAAAACATCAGAAGCTAAAACTAAATCTTCCACAACCTTGACTAGAGGTGAAGTGTTGGGTGAATGAAAGAGCTGTCACACATACTTGCACTGATCTACAACCACATTTGAACGTGTTTTAACATGATCTGTTTCACTGAATCAGAGTTTTGTCTCTAAAATGCCCCCAAATTAGCTGCCACTTATCTTTCAGAATCTGAAGATTTGTCTTGAAAAGAAAGAAAAAGGTTGCAGGTAATACCAAAGTGTAGTTATTTCTTTGAAATGGAACTAAAGTACTGGATGCAACAGTGGAAGAGGGATAGAAGTAGGTTTCCCTTACTCTGATTTACCAACATGTTAACTTCACAGGAGTCACTTTTTATGTGTATGCATATGAACTCAGAACCGAGACTTAGCTCTTTGGTGGCCAGAAGCAATCACTGCCATAGCTTCACATTAGGATAGGATGGGATGGGATGGGATAGGATAGGATGGGGTAGGATAGGATAGACTATTTCACTTGGAAGGGACCTACAAAGATCATCTAGTCCAACTGCGTGACAAATTCAGGGCTGACCAAGTTAAAGTATGTTATTAAAGGCATTGTTCAAATGCCTCTTAAACACTGACAGGCTTGGGGCATCGACCACCTCTCTTGGAAGCCTTTTCCAGTGTTTGACCACCCTCTTGGCAAAAAAACGCATTAAATGCCTCTGCTTTTTCTTCATCCCTAGTAGTCAGATGACCATGTTCAACAAGTATCAGTCCAATGTTTTCTTTAGACCTCCTCTTGCTCTTAAGGTACTTTAAAAAGCCCTTCTTGTTATCTGAAAAAACACCAGACAGTTTAAACTCTAATTGAGCTTTGGCCTTTTGTGTCTTCTCACTGCATAAACAAACCACTGCTCTGTTCTCCAAAGCCTGAGCTCACTTCCAGGGATCATACAATTTATTTTTCCTCTTGAGGTCCACGAGGAGTTCTCTGTTCAGACAAGCTTGTCTTCTGCCCCAACCAGGCAGAGTGGTGGGACGGTTTCTAAATGTGTTTCACATATGTTTCTGCTAGCATGGAGGAGCCACCAGCACAGCATCCCCAGTAGCTCCAGGATTTGGGTCCATTAGTTTGATCCTGACTCATATGAAAGTGCAACTCACTGCACCACGGGCATGGCCTTCCTCTCCTGCAGCGGGCAGGGAACCCGGCCGTGCAGTGCTGGGAACCAACTGCCT